ACTAGAACTGGAAGTCAGGTAGAAGTGGAAATTTCTAGTCTTCTCCCCTTGGTTCCCTGGAAGAAGGGGAGAGGAGTATGCATGAGCCAGAGACTTGCCTCTGCTTGTTCTGGATCCTTCAAACCATAGTTTTAAAGAATCCGCTGAACTGAACCTTTATCTTTTCTTATCTTTATCTGTGTCCTTCATAGGTACCAGGTGTTGTAGCGACAATTTGTTCTAATAGTAGAGGGTCTTCTTTCTTGCCAGAATATGCTGTTCAGACCCGTTAGTTCATGAAGATCTTGCCTGTAAAGCTTAAAGAGGAAAGAAATTGTGTGCTGTTTAAATTATTTCTTTTTTAAAAAGAAAAATAACTAAAGGTTTTATGGCAGAGGCTTCAATGGCTGGCTTTCGGTAGTTTATTTCTTGCTACCCACTATCCTTCCTGGTCTGCTTTCGGAAAGCTACAGGCAACACAGGCAAGGGCTTGGGTGTTTCCTCAATCTGCAGTGTTAATGACCTGATTTATGCCATGGAAAGGGCACAAGCATCCCCTTATTATTTATGAGGGAACCCATGCAGGCAGAAAACAACAGAATGGGTTTTCGCAGAAGTAATCCATTGTGAACAATGGGGCTCATTCCCTAGAATGGAACATTAGGATTGGAGCTCACCCCAAAATTGGAGCACATTTTGGGTTGCTCGTACTCCATAAATATTTAGGGTTGAATCCAGTGAAATAATTTCACAAGCAGAACACTGGGGTCATAGTGGATAGCTCCAGGAAGTGTATGGAAGGAATAAGGAGAATTCCATTCTAAGGCTCATTATGAAAGGAATGGAAAATAAAACTGACAATGCAGTAGAACCTCTACTTGCAATCACCTCTACTTGGGCCCGATCCAAGTTGCGACCACAGCAAACCCGGAAGTAAATACCAGGTTTGCTGTTATTCGCACATGCGCAGAAGCAGCTTCTGTGGTTTGCACATGCGCAGAAGCGGCTGCCGCCGCCTACACCTGTACAGAGGTGTGTTGCTGCCGAATGCGCCTGCGCACAACGGCGCTTCTACCAGCGACCCAGATCGACTTACAGACGGACCTCTGGAACTGATTATGTGCGTAAGTAGAGGTTTCACTGTATAATAATTGTGTTCACACTTGGAATACTGGTGTATAGTTTTGGTCACTTCACCTCAAAAAGGATATTTGTATAATTAGAAAGATTCAGGAAAGTGCATCAAAAATGATCAAGGGGGTGGAGCAACTCACCTATGAAGAAAGATTGCAGCATGTGGAACATTTTAGTTTGGAGAAAAGATGATAGAAGTTTATAAAATTATGCAGCACATGAAGACAGTGGATAGAGAACAGCTTTCCTCCCTTATAGCACTGGAACTTGTGGACAGCCAAGGAAACCGAATGTTGGAAGATTCAGGACAGATAAAAGGAAGCCCTTATCCACACAGCGCATAGTTAAACTATGGAACTCCTTGCTACAGGAGGCAGTGATGCCCACTAACCTGAATGGCTTTAAAATAGGATTAGGCAAATTCACGGAGTCAGCAACACGTCTCAATACCAGTTTCTAGAAACCACAGGCAGAAAGAGTGCTCTTGTGCTTGAATCCTGCTTTCGGGTTCCCCACAGGCATCTGGTGCCACTGTGAGAACCGGGTGCTGGACTAATGGGCCACTGGTCAGATCCAGCAGGCTCTTCTCACGTTCTTTTCAGCAAGCCTTGTGTGACCATTTCAGATGGGCCACGGTGCTTAGTAAAGGTAAAGGGACCCCTGACCATTAGGTCCAGTCGTGACCGACTCTGGGGTTGTAGCGCTCATCTCGCTTTACTGGCTGAGGGAGCTGGCGTACAGCTTCCAGGTCATGTGGCGAACCAGAGCAGCGCACAGAAACGTCGTTTACCTTCCCGCCGGAGCGGTACCTATTTATCTACTTGCACTTTGACGTGCTTTTGAACTGCTAGGTTGGCAGGAGCAGGGACCGAGCAACGGGAGCTCACGCCATTGCAGGGTTTCGAACCGCCGACCTTCTGATCGGCAAGTCCTAGGCTCTGTGGTTTAACCCACAGCGCCACCCACGTCCGCAACATTCAAATTCCCTGACATTGTACTGTGATCCTGGCTGGGTCAAGAGCTTGGATTGCACAGAGTAGCTTTGTCCCCTTAAAGAAGAGTGGATGCTTCTCTCTCTCAGCCCCCAGGATGACACACTTGCAGACACGAGCATAGATGTGCGTGCTTTAGACAGTGCAACAGCACATGTAGTGCCTCCCAAGTGATTCCTTCCACGGTATGTCAAGGCTGAGACGTACTGGAGAGGCTGGGAGGCATCTTGCTGAAATGCTGCATCTTCCACCCGCCAGAGTGCATGTCGGTTGAGTCACTGGCAGTTGTTGTTCCTTATTTTCCCTGCAGAAAGGAGCAGACAGAAGATGCCGTCACTGCTGTTTGCTTCTGTTCCCAGCATTGAATGTGTGTTGATGAAAGGGTTCCTTCTGCCCCCAAAGAGCTGCTTTGTGGCCACTTGCGATGAGGCTAAACGTGCCTGTCCTCCACCGCTTTGTCTTTTCCTAGCTGCTTTTGGTAACTTGCACTGGAATTGGGGGGTGGGGGGCCTTGAAATATTTTTGTTTACTGGGGCCAAGCCCAAAATTTTGCTAGAACAGGAAACCAGCAGCCATAGACGTCTCTTGAACGCAGTTTAAGAGGGACCACAGTGACTGGAATTATTTCAGAGCCACTTCTGAGCAGTTACTGGAGCTTGGAGAAGTGGCAGTCGGCAGAAAATAAATAAAGCTGGGTGTGTGGCTTGGAAAATTAATAGGGCTGCACTTGGAGTTTTCAGTCCATTCTTGCTAAGTACTACGGAAGTAACAAAAACATGAAGTCTCCACTTGATTTGCCCCTGTGTAGTTCATACCCCACAGGTTAAGTGAAGTGTCATCGGAGCAGAAGAGCACCCACAGACTCCTGAAAACAAAGGAGTTAAAAGCTGTTGCATTAGTTGGTGTCTGGTTCTGGCAGAAGAGATGCAGAAATAAAAATATTTCATGCAGTTGGGGGGAGAAGCATTTGTGATTACTTGCCAAAAGTCAAAAGTGAATGAAAATACAGTTTTTGTTAAACATGTAGCCTTAGTGCAGCCTGCGCAGGCTGTGGCTGATGTGAGCTGCAATCCAAAACTTGGAGGGCACCTGGCTGGTGAAGGCTGCCCCCCCCTTTTTTTAAAAGGCAGAACTGGCAAGTTACCAGCTTTAAGAGGCTGTGTTGCTTTAATCATTCAAAAGGAACAATGCATGTGAGAAAACTGCATGTGATAAAGAGCAACAATTGCAGAACACAATCTAAGCTAAAGTACCTATAATGTTAGGTGTGTTGGAGTAGTCCTGTTGCTTAAAACGCTCTACTGTCTTAATCACACTTTTCCTCAAGCATATTCTGTGCACAGCTAAGGGGCTTGATGCTGGAAGAAGGGTTGGTTGGTGTTATGGTTGTGGCATTCTGGAAAAACCATTTCACTCCGTTTCTCATACATATTGTTGGCAGGGAATCTGTTGCTTATGCACTCTCCCTCTTTCATAATCCTCTTGCAATCAGAGTTTTCCAAGTCAGGTACCTTTTTGCATGAAAGGGAGCTTGGTATATATGGAGTAAAATGGGGGGTGAGATGGAATGTTGCCACCCTTACAAAGAAGACATATTCTAATTTTCCTCCACGTTGAGGTCAAGGGTGCTTCTTCCGTTGGCAATATTCCTTGAATTTGTAATCCACATATCATGCATCTACACACAAGATTGTCTGTTTAGTTTCTGGTGGGAAAAAGTGAATAGGTTTTGTCAGTCTGCTCTAATTTCGGACCTCAGCTTAATTCCTGAAGAGTAGCCATGGTTTGTTGGTAGCAAGAAAAGATAAAAAGTGTTCCAGCTCCTTAGGAACTGACAGGCCTATTGTGACATGAGCTTCAGGGCAGCAGCTTACTCTTTCAGATGTTTTTAAAAGAATTAAGATCATTCATAGCTTTGAAGTTGGCACTGAATGCATTTTAGAACATTTTAAATCAGCAGTGGAATTCTGTTTCTCGGTAGCATGTGCTAGGGGATTCCATAGAATAATATATCCTAGAATGCAGTGTCTCGTGGATATTGTGCAGATTGCATGGAGGAAAGAGTCTTCAGTCTTTTTTTCTTGAAGAGAACTTTAGAGCAATAAGAAAAGCACCTAAACAAGCCTCAAACAAAGGGTTAGAAAGTGAAAATTCTGTCTTTGGTGATTATCGTCGAGAACCTCAGAACATCCAGTGCCCTTTGTTTCTGTGGGTTCTACATAGAAGAGCTTCTTGGTGGATTGTACCCATTCAAAACCTATTTATATACACAAGCATTTTAAAGTTTTAAGATGGAATTAGTATGCGTTGATTCTTTTATCTGTCTCCATATGTTTGGTGAATATGTTTTTTTGTTTATGGTATATTGTAGTTTTCATGGGTATAAATGAAGAGCAGGTAAAAGAATAATAGTAATTAGTTAGTAAATAATCATCTCCTTGACATAACAGTAATATCAGTCCGTTGGGGCCAACTCTATGTGAAGTGTTGACATCTTCTAGGAATCAAAGTGAATCAACCAAAATATTTTGTACAGGCTGTTTACCACCTTTCACAGCTTAATGGGTTTCGGACATGACCAGCGTGGAGTGTATTTGATCTAGTGACCTTGAGATGTAACTGCCCCCACTCCCAGAATTCTGTTTGCAGCCTCCTGGATGATCCATCATAGAAGTTTGCCGGCCAACTTTTTTAAAAGATAGCAACCTTAATTCAAAGTGAACTTAAAGTATCTGGACTCTAACCTCTTGAATATAAATCAAGTATGCTTTTCCTGCCTCGCCAAACGCAAAAACCAATATGTTGTCCCAGCTCTATTAGAGGGTAGAAAACATTAATGATGTGATATCTTCCCTTGTTCAAACATAGCTGATGGTTTTCCTTTTCTTCCAACAGGATCCAACAGCAGCCTCTATATCTGACAGAGACTGTGACACGAGAGAGGGAGAAACTGTAGCTATGAATTACAAACCATCCCCCCTACAAGTGAAACTAGGTAGGTTTTATGCATATATTGAAGTTGCTCTGTGGTTTGGGTACTTGGCTATGGCAGTTGCACATACAGTGGCACCTTGGTTCTCAAACTTAATCCGTTCCGGAAGTCCATTCCAAAACGCTTTCCCATAGAAAGTAATGCAAAACAGATTAATCCATTCCAGACTTTTAAAAACAACCCCTAAAACAGCAATTTAACATGATTTTTACTATCTAACAAGACCATTGATCCATAAAATGAAAGCAATAAACAATGTACTGCAGTCACATAATCAATCAGTATCTGAACTGGGTTCCACACAGTCACAAATACAAAAAAAAAGAGCTGCAAAAACAAAAACGCAAAATAAATAGCAAAAACAGCGTAACGCTCAAAACGGAACTGTGGCACTCAAATTGGAAGCGAAAAACTCAAAACGGAGCATGTTCGGCTTCCGAAAAAAGTTCACAAACCGGAACACTTACTTCCGGGTTTGTAGTGTTTGGGTTCCAAGTTGTTTTAGTACCAAGCGTTTGAGAACCAAGGTACCACTGTACTTAATTTCCCAGAACTTGTCTCCATTTTGTTTTCTCCTTCTCTCTCTGCCTCTCAGGGCAAATGTATGCTGGCAACATACACTTGTTTCACCATCATCTCATTTCTTTAAAGAAACCTTGGAACTGCATGTGAGAGTTGGAGGGAGGGGGTAAAGAACAGAACTCTTGGTACCCACACTAAGCTGCAATTCTCAGGATTTGGGCTAGAGGAATCCATGACAATTCATCTTTGTATGAAGCCAGTATGATTTAATGGTGTACTCATACAACACTCTTTCTCCTCCCCCACATAAAAACCCTGTTATACCAAAGACCTAGTCCAGTATCCTTTCCCCTCACAGATTAGAAACCAGCAAGTGGGACAGGGGGACAATAGCCCTTCTCCTACTGCTAATCCTCAGCAACTGGTATTCAAAGGGGTAATGCCTTTGATCCTTAAGGCGGAATCCAGCCATCATGCCGAGTAGCCATTGAAAGACACATTCTGTTAGAATTCCTGCTCCATGATTGCAGTCATGGGACTGTTATCTTTCACATGACGGTGTATGTTTTGACTCCACTGAGTGGGAAGAGACAGAGACAGGACGTTCGTGTTACTGTGTTCCGTGAAGTGGGACTATTGTCCCTTGTTCTTTTTTTTCTTTGCTGTCTGATGCCAGAGAGAGAGGGAACCATGTTGCAGTGCTCCGTGTGTGTTTATATGTAAATAAAGTAGATTAGCCAAAATGCTGAGTTGCTGAGGTCTGTTACGCAAACTGTGAAGACTCTGCAGATCCCTAAGTGTGCTGATGTCTGTTGGCATCGGTCGCTGTGACGTTCAGGCTAAAGAAAGCTTTTGTAGCTCCTGAACGAATGACCAGGAGGGAGAGAACATGCCAGTTGGGCATGTGTCTCTACCAGGATCCTACTCAAGTGTAGGACGAGCTCCTGACACATTCTCCATGAATTTGTCTAGTCCCCTTTTCAAAACATTCACATTTGCCTTCTCCTCATTTCATGGTGAATTCCATAAAACAATATACCATGAGAAGAAGTATTATCTTTTGTCTGACTGACCGACCGACCATTCAGCTTCATTGAATGACCCCAGGTTCTAATATTATAGGAGTGGAAGTAGTGCCACTGATAGGAACCACCATAGGTTTTACCATTTTATTAATTTATTTAATAAAATTTTTGCAAATTTTTGTAAAAAACAAACAAACCTCAATGCGGTTTACCAAAAGATAAAACACTTAAATTGATGAGAATTCACAGCCATACTATGTGTTGTTGTTGTTGTTTAGTCGTTTAGTCATGTCTGACTCTTCGTGACCCTATGGACCAGAGCGCGCCAGGCACTCCTGTCTTCCACTGCCTCCCGCAGTTTGGTCAGACTCATGTTTGTAGCTTGTAGCCATACTATAAAGCACCCAAAAGTTGAAATACTAAAACAGATTAAAATTACCTCAACTTTCTAAGCATCAGGGTATGCTTGTCAAAACAAGAATGTTTTAAGCAGGTGCCAAAAATACAGTTAAGGCGCTTGCTTGATCTCAAATAAGCAGGGAGTTCCAAAGTGCAGCTGCTGCCACACTAAGCGATAGAGTTCTTACAAATGCAACCATGACCTACTATTGGAAATTGATGTACTATGCAAAAGGCATGTAAATAGATATGTCTCTAGTTGCTGTGGGTCACTGATAAGATTGCAACCTTGAAGACACCTTCTTGTTTGGAAGCCTTGCTTGTTACCCATATCGGTAGGATTTTCCCTCTTGCCACTTCGTGGCTTCTGTTTGGTCATCACCCCTGCCCCCATTTATTTCTACTGTTACAGTGGTGCCTCGCAAGAGGAAATTAATTCGTTCCGCGAGTTTTGTCGTCTTGCGATTTTTTTCGTCTTGCGAAGCACGGTGTCAGAAAAGTTTTGGAAAAGCTTCAAAAATCACCAAAGTCTTTAAAAACCTCAAAAAAGGCTACCACACCACGTTCTATGAGTTGCTCCTCGAAGTCAAGTCGCAACTGTATTAATGGTGTTAAGAAAAAGGAAACAAACTTGCAAGACGTTTCCGTCTTGCGAAGCAAGCCCATAGGGTAAATCGTCTTGCGAAGCAGCTCAAAAAACCCTTTCGTCTAGCGAGTTTTTTGTCTTGCGAGGCATTCGTCTTGCGAGGTACCACTGTATTCTGCTCTTATGCAGGCCTTCCAATGGGGACTGATAATTTTATGTTGTCTGTTTGCTTTGGCATTTGTGCTTATTTTGGGTGACAGGTCATTTTTAAGGATAGGCACCTTGTCATTTGTTTGGAAACTTATATGGTAAATGGTAAATGACATAGCCTTCGGAGTTAGAGGCAAGAGGGCTCATCTGAACAGATGCACGGCATGAAATTAATAATGGCAAGCCAATGAAAACATGTCAGAGCTAGGAAGGGACAAAAGGTATCAAAATCCTTCTATAATAACAAACGCCTTTGAAAGTCCGTTTTGTAGAGCAGCAGACTTGGGGGCGGGGAGCAATTCCCAGAACTGCACAAACTGTTGTTAATGAAGCTTATGCAATCTTAAGTAGACCTTCTGGTTTCTAATGAAATCTGTTGATTCCTGGTCACCTCTACTGAATATCATGTGCTTAACTTGTAAAATGCATATTAGAACTCCTGTAAAAAGTGAAGATCTAGTCCTAGAAGGGAAAGGGAAAGCAGGTGAGATTTTTCAGATGTGCCACCAACTCACTATGCTTAATACTTTGCATTTACATAGCATATTAACTTGCATGCATTACCTCAGTAATCATTAGACAGGGAGTAGGGTGCTGTGGGTTAAACCAGAGCCTAGGACATGCCGATCAGAAGGTTGGCGGTTCGAATCCCCGCGACGGGGGTGCTCCCGTTGCTCGGTCCCTGCGCCTGCCAACCTAGCAGTTTGAAAGCACGTCAAAGTGCAAGTAGATAAATAGGTACCACTCCAGCGGGAAGGTAAATGGCATTTCCATGCGCTGCTCTGGTTCGCCAGAAGCGGCTTAGTCCTGCTGGCCACATGACCCGGAAACTGTACGCCGGCTCCCTTGACCAATAAAGCGAGATGAGCGCCGCAACCCCAGAGTCTGCCACGACTGGACCTAGTGGTCAGGGGTCCCTTTACCTTTAGGGAACCTCCAGATGTTGTTGGACTGCAGCTGCTATCAGCCCCAGCCAGCACGGCCAGAGGTTGAGTTGTCGCCCAGCAGCTTCTAGAAAGCCACAGATACTTCATTCCTGCCTTAGCACAATCCTGTGTAAGGTTCAGCATTATTTGTCTGTTGCAACTCTGGGATTGAGGCGGAAAGTGTGCTTTGCCTAAGGCTACCACATGAGTTTGATTTGAACTGAGGGTTCCAGGTTGGCAGCTCCGTCTCTTGTAGCATTTAGATTTTTTTCCCACACCTCCCAGTGTGGAGCATGACTTTCACTCCTTTAAGTATGGGAAGTCCATAGATCAAGAAATGCCCCCCAAGGTTTGAACTGAACAATGCCATGAAATTTTGTTATATCTTGCAGGATGAGTTGAGTCACCCCAAGTAGTTATGAGGCCTCCAGTGCTGAATTGCTACAAGCTTGTCTTGTGCTAATATTGGAACACTAAAGTATTAAGCATTAGGGACTGCCAGTTGTAAACCAAAATTCCTTCTCTTGACTATGTTATCTGCACTACAGCTACTTTAAAAGTGCTTTGAATGTCTACATAGTGTGGGTAAAGCACCTCTTTTAGTGGTGATCATATCAGAACATGAGCTGGAAAGCTGCAACTAAATGTGTATGTACATTGCAAGAAATTAATATTACTAAAGCCCTGGTCTGTTCGGTGTGTCCTTCATTTCCAGGCGTCACCAGGAGCTGTGTTAACATGTGAAAACCTTAAAGCCATACAGTCTAGAAACATATTTGTTTCAAAATGAAAGCCAAAGTTCACACATTTCAAGCAGATAGTTGTGCACTGAGCTGTCCGGTTCAGAATTGTGTAGGCACATAATTCCTCTTCCCTCCCATGAAGTGGTTGTGTTAACTCCAGGCTTCAGTGACCTCAGGTTAATGGATTGTCTCTGCTTTTCAGAGGCTGTCTTTGCGGATGTCAAAGGAATGATATGTTTGGGGAAGTAGAAAGGAGGCGGCAGAGACTGACTTGCACATGTCATGTGGTGGTCTTGTCTATTGAATGGTATTGATCCATCAGGGGTACTAAATTGCTCTGCTGACTGGAAGAGGAAATAAGGGAAGGAAATACTAATCATTGTCCATTCAGAAGGTGACACAGTTCCAGCATTCAAGATAATGGCCTCATGTTCATGTCTTGACAGTTTGAAATCTTGATTGATGCACCCCTGACTTGGGAAAGGGAATGTGCACCCTCCTCCCTGCATCTCCCAGTTTCCCAGACCAAATGCTATTTTTCCTCAAGAGTACCTATGCGTTTGGCCATTATGGGAAATAGAATAACCACCAC